ATATATATATATATATATATATATATCTATATATATATATATATATAACAAGTCTTGCTCATTGAGCTAGCATTTACATCGACGCAACAGTAGTACCTAGGAGGGACTAGCTAGAGTACTACGACTTGTAGGTAACATAATGTTGTGAATTGTTCGTAGGAAGAGATAACTAAGCTGTGCTTGAGTGGACTCCAAAGTAAGATGGAATAGAGAAGCTGTGATATAAAGTAGCGGAGTAATTCGCTTACATAGTAAACCGATTGAGTGGGATAACGCACCTAACGGATTGGTATGCTCAAAGTAGAAAAAACCATCAAGTTTCACCCAAACTAATGAGTGTACAAACATGCGTGTCAAATTGTCCACCATAAAACTGCGTTCAGTATAGAATCCATACACATTCCCAACGTATGTGGATGGAAACATTTTCTCACGATTCCGAACACGCCTGGAACTCTAGTATACAGATTGAGTTGCCAGGCCCAATCAGAAACGTATATGGTCCGAGATGCCTCCTATACAGGTTGCAAACGTGTTGGGGCAATACCCTTAGCTCAAGATAGGAGCATGTAGTGTAAAGTGAGAGAGAGCGCAACCCGGTACCGGCTTACACATAGCACTAACACATGTGGCATAGGTACATGCAAGTGCATATGTACACACCTCTTGTCTTCCACATACGTCCCCTTACATACCCGTGCCAGGTACACCAAACACTATCAATAATGACTTACCTAACATCTAATTCCTCCTGTATCTCCTCGACGGAATGTCCGAGCCGCACATAGGCCCTGACCATACGGTAACAGTCGTCATAGAGGGTTGCCGTACACACCGGTTCGAATCTAAACTTGGTTTTTTCCCTGTGGTGGGGATATATTTGCAGCCGGTATATGTGGACGGATTATTTGCGGTTAAGAATACTGAGGTATTATACCTCGATGTTTGAGACGGTAAAGGTGTCACAATTACTGAGAAGGCGGGAAGGCAGTAGAAACTGTATATTATTGGGATTGTGTTGCTATTAAGGGCTTCTGTGTCATGACAAGAATGTAGAGCATGGCAAACTATATATGGTAGACAATATATATATATATACATATATATGGATATTCTACTTAATCTACGCAATCATAACAGCATTGTATCAATTCGGTTAAGCCAGTCTACAAAGTGCATTCATTGGAAATTTAGGCACCAGGCTAGCGTAAACGCTCCATACACATACCTACCAACAAACCTATAAATAACTACACATATACCTACCTGAGGGGCGTCAGGGCATCAATGCCCTCGAACTCATCAAAAACAGCGCATAGTTTCATAGGATCCACTGCTTTCGCATCGATCAGAGCGAGCTGCCGGTACAATTCATACCAATCGTGTTAGTGGGTCAGTGTCGGTGTCAAGTGTCCAGTGTCACGTGTCTGTGTCGAGTGTGTTTGTTAGTGAGCCACCTTGCTCCTCCATATATGCCAAAATAGCCGTTCACATATAGAAGATTCCATGAAGGTCTCCAAACCCATACATATAGCGTTCGTTTGCGAGCTGCACATCAATTTAAGCACCGTCTGCATATACATAAAATATATATGAATATGTATATATATATATATATGTATGTAGATGTATATTTACATATATATATATATATATATATATATATATATGTGTGTGTGTGTGTGTGTGTGTGTGTGTGTGTGTGTGTGTGTGTGTGTGTGTGTGTGT